TCGACGAAAGAGGGGGAGGCCTTCAAGGAGATGGATTGATATGGTGGCTGTGATGATGGGCTCAAGTATAGCAGGGATTGTGGGGCTGGCGCGGGGTCGGGCAGTGTTTCGTTCTGCTGTGCATGGGGTCGCTATGAGTCGGAAATGACTCAACGGCACTTAACAACAACAACAACAACAATACGATAACTCTGTAAACCAGATATGCCCCGTTTCTTAGAGTTTCCTGGGTGTTTTGTTATGTTTTTGATTATTGAAGGCTGTGGTAGTCTGTTGGTTTCTAAACTCTTTTTACTATATTAAAACTATATTCCTTGATGTGTGGTGGTTACTAAAATCTGTTCCTTTAGCTCATGTCCAGGTAGTGTTTTGACAGATTCCTTGAATGGCAGGAATTTAATGGAAAGAAAAACAACAGCAAAAAGGAAAAAAAAAAAAAAAAACTCTCTCCCAGTCTTTGCAGATTGGTTCTGTGGTAGGGCATTCCTTCCACACTCAGCCTTGCTTTCACTGAGCCTTTGGACATAGGGTTTTCTCAGGTCTTTTCTGAGCAGGTGTCTTGCTCTGTGTATGGTGTGGTGTTCTAAATTCTCTCATGTACACAGTGCTTTTGAGTGCCCTAATTTCCCAAAGAAACTCTCTCCCTTGCTTTTCCTCCCAGGCTGTAGATGGTCTGTTGTACATCTCAACCATACTCTTTTGCCCCAGGTGGCTACAGGTTGATCATTCATCTTAGTGTTTCTAGCAGTGCCCACCACTTTTGAGCCCTGAGTGAGTTCTGAGATAGGTGAAACTGATATGAGCTCCCTACATCCACCTTCAGGTAGTCCCCAGAAAGGTTAGAACAGACAAACACAATAATTTGTGAATATGGTCTGGTACGCTTCCTCAAGAACAGAGACCAGGGTCCCACACTAGGATCACAGGTTGTTGTCTTCAAGACTGCTGCCACCTGGGGAGGTGGTGAGGCACAGGTAAAATAACCACAAAGCTTTCCTACTGTTGTTTTTTTTAAGTTGCCCTTTTCTTGAGTCTTTGTTCCCTTGAATGCTGTAAACCTTTGACTGTTTTTCAAAATTATGGCTAAGTTGCTTCTGATAGTTTCTATTGTTTTTGATGTTTGTGTATGTGGGGAGGAGAGAGCCTGAAGCTGTTTACTCTGCCATCTTGCTGACCTCTTAATTAAATAGCTAAACTTTTGATGAGTAGAGACAGGGGAAGGAAGCAAGCTGACTAAAGGCAGGAAAGTATGTGTAGCAAATAATTCCAGGGAAATAGTGGGCCTTGAAATATCATTTGAGCCCAATTTGGAGGTCACTGAATGCTAGCTGGGTCTTATTATGCTCTATAAAATCAGCTTAGTTAATGTAATCTTAATCATATATCCATATATATAAATGTTTTAAAATATATCAGACATGGTCTTTTAGTCATTTGTGTGACTATTTCTAATATCTAAGGTCAGTGTTTATAGTGTGGCCAATATGAATTAATCACATTACATACATTTACTTAATGATATTTGCATAGTTCAGTTTTTACCAAGTGATGATTTATTCATCTTTTCTTTCAATTACAGTGATTTGCAAGGAATAAGAACAAATGCCAAAAAGGATGGAAGTGACTGGATTCTCAGTGGAAGCAAGGTGTGTAAAAAGGGGCATCCATACCATGTCTCTCCAGAGTCATGCCATGGGTAACAAAGTCTCAAAGACTACTCATCATTGCTTCTGTCAGATCCAGGGACCCACACAAGAATTAAGTTTACTTAAGTTATTGCTGAGCTAATAAGAAAGTTACAACATTATATTAACATAAACTGGGTAGCTTCTTCATATTATTTTGCATGTCTCATTACTAATACGGCAAAAGTGGTTTTAGCTTTTCGACAGCCCTTATCAAATCAGAAAAGGTGAAGGAAATGCTCCCATTGCCAAGTATAGAACAAGCAAGTTGATAAATTTTGTGTTGATGAGTGACTGGGGAAGAGGCTTTCTCATAAATATCAAGAATACTTTCAAAAGGTCCTAGGAGCAAAAGATATTACTGATAGAAATTTAGTCCTTCTGAAGGAGCCTTGGTGGCATAGTTTTTAAGCACTTGGTTTGCTAACAGAAAGATCGGCCATAGCCATAGCCACTTCTCTGAAGGAAAGCTGTCTGCTCTGTAAAGATTGTTATTGTTGTTAGCTGCCGTCAAGATGGTCTGATTTGACGCTATATACAACAGAACGAAGCACTGCCTATCTTGTTCCAGACTCACAAACATTGCTATGTTTGAGTCCACTGTTGCAGCCGCTGTGTCACCCTATCTCATTGAGGGTCTTCCTCCTTTTCACTGACCCTCTACCTTTCCACACATGACAGCCCTTCCTGTTAATGTGAGATAAAGTAAATGAGTCTCGCCATCTACACTTCTAAGGAGTATTCTGCCTATATTTCTTGCAAGACAGATTTCTTCATTTTTCTGCCAGTCCATGTTATAGTCAATATTCTTTGCCAAAACCGTATTCAAATGCATCAATTCATCTTCACTATCATTTATTCGTTGTGCAGCTTTGAAATGCATATGAAGTGACTAAAAATACCATGGCTTGGGTCAGGCACATGTTAGTCCCCAAAATGACATCTTTGCTTTTTAACATTTTAAACAGATCGCATCTCAACCCTATAGGACAGAGTAGAACTGCCCCATAGGGTTTCCAAGGATATAAATTTTTACAAAAGTAGACTGTTGCTGCTTTCTCCTACATAGCAGCTGGTGGGTTTGAAGTGCTGGCCTTTAGGTTAGTAGTCAGTCTCTTTAAGCACTGTGCCACCACCAGGGCTCCTTGTGAATTGCTATAAAAGTTTCTAAACTTGAAAAAGGAGGTAAGATGGCAGAATAGGCAGAAAGACTGCACATAACCTCTTCAACAAAGAAAAGGGGAACCAATTAACACAGATACAGAAGATAATCCTCGACCCCTGAGCATTGAAGGGAAAGACATGGTAGTGGACTAAACCCCCACTAGCAGAAGAATTTGCATGAAAACACCAAAAAAGGAGACACACAGAGCTGAGGTCCAGCAGCGATCCTGACGGCACAGACAGCTTGGGTATTGCCGAGTGGTGGCAGGACCTAAGAATTAACCTAAAAATCAGTTCTGCTAGCTAGGGACTGCTAGGAGGACTGCTCTGGTGGCTAGTAAATAAAAGGCAGCAAAGAGGAAGGTGGGCTGAGCTACGGACATTTGCCTGTCTGGAGGGTGTGGCCATTTTGAACGTTTACAAGTAGCTTGACCATTTTGGATGTTGAAAGCGACATCCTTCTCCCAGATTGCAGGGATTTAAGAACAGGCTCCACGTGCTGGGAACTACAAGGACATTCCAGACGTGGACGGACAATTGGAAAGGTGCGACGTTCCCGTTGTTGCTCTTATATCCCACACCCTCTTGGTGAACAGAGGTGCAGCCATCCCTCACTTCCACCCACCTTCTAGGCTGGCAGGAATTCCATCCCAGTCTGTGTGCTCTGACAGAGCCTAGGAGCCTTGCCCCGCCCTGCTCCAATTTTTTTTTCTTTTTTTTAGTATGTTTGTTTTTGTCTGTTTTTAAACTACTGCTATTATTATTACTTTTGCCATTTTTGTCATTATTCTTTATTCTACCCTTCCCAGGTTCTAGTTTTCAGATTTTTTTTCTTTTCCCTGTTCCTGGTTGCAATTTTTTTTTCTCATAGTTAACCCCATTCTTTGTTTTTTCTTTTTGCCTTTTTCTTCAATATTCTCCTTCTCTATCTTTTTTCTCTAATTGTCCTCTCCCAAGATATTGTGGTGGGTTCCCCCCACCCTTTTTTTTTTTTTTTTTTCCTGAATGAAAGAAAAAGAGGCAGGTCAAAGACATATATTTAAAATAACACTGGTAATGGTAATGGCTAATATACAGGCTTTCCAAATTCCCAAAACAATTATATTCCTTCACAGCTAAATATCCAGATCCAAGTAGAGAGATATGTTTTTCCTGTAGAGGTATACTAGTTCATTAATTGTCATTAAGTTAATTGAGATCATAAATTCAAGAAAAACAGAAAATACAATCTAAGACTTAAATGATAAAATATAACACATTATACTTATCTATTTTTAAGAACTGCCAGTGTTAAGTATTATAATAAAATAATTACTTTTAAAGTCCATAATTTGTGGCTGAAGTCATTCATTCATTCACTGAACACACATTCACACAGGTTCTAAGATATCTAAGATCATCTATAGCCAGTTTAGTACTAGAGACAAAAGAAAGAGGACAAAATATATCAAGTAAAGATAAAGCAACTATAGAATGCAAAAAGATAAAATAAACATTTATAAGAAACATTTCATGGGTTGCCAGCCACAAATTTTATATCTTCCTTACTACATATACAAATAGGCAAATATTCATTCCTTCACTGAATGAATGCTTACCAACCACTGTAGACAATGCTAGGCATTGATTATATAATGAAAGAACAGTATTTGCTTTCAAGGTATTTAAAATTCAAGTTCAAGTCACTTTTAGTATTTGCCTCTGTGTGTCTTTTAATACGCATTCAGAAGTTTTCATCATCAATAAAGATGATAAAAATTTAATTGTGTTAATGTTGTTATTGTTGTTTGCCATCGAGTTGGCCCCAACCCATAGCAACCCCTCCTTGGGTTTCCGAGGCAGTTATCACTACGGAACTAGATTGCCCAACCTTCCTTCTGAGGAGTGGCTGGTGAGTTTGAACCACCAGGCTTCTGGTTAGCAGTTAAGTGCCTTAGGCACTACGCTACCAGAGTTCCTATTTAACAAGTTAGAACTGATTAATTCCAATTTCAAAAAGACAGAACTGATTTTTATATTCAAATCAAAATATATACATAATTACAGTTGTGTTGTATATCTAGAACTCTCAGTTTGTCATACTGTGTGGTTTGTGCATTGCTGAGATGCTTCAAACTATGCCACGAGTACTTCACACACCAGCAGGGTCTCTCATGGTAGAAAGATTTCAGCAGAGCTTCCAGACTAAGACAGACTAGGAAGAAGGGCATGCTGGTCTACTTCTCAAAAATTTGACCACTAAAAACCTTATAAACATCTGTGAAACACTGATTTATTGCTGGAAGATGAGTCCCTCAGATTGGTCAAACTACGACCAGGCAAGAGCCGCCTACTCAAAGTAGAGGCACCCCTGAAGACATGATGGAATAAAGCTTTCGGGATTTTCATTTGCTGAGGAGGCACACCTCAAATTGAGAAAAAACAGCTGCAAACATCCATTAATAGTCAGAACATGGACTGTACAAAACATGAATCTAGGAACACCGAAAGTCACCAAAAATGAAATGCAATATATATAGATTGATATCCTAGGCATTAGTGAACTGAAATGGACTGTTATTGTACATTTTGAATCTGACAATCATGTGGTCACTTATGCCAAGAATAACAGATTGAATAGGAACAGCATCACGTTCATTGGCAGAAAGAAAATTTCAACGTCCTGAAGTACAATGCTGTCAGTGACAGGATAATATCCATATGCCTATAAGAAAGACAGAAAAGACAAAAATGGATGTCAGAAGACAATCTGAAGTTTGCTCTTAATGGAGAGTAGCTAACATGAACAAAAGAATTAAAAGAGTTAAACAGAAGATTTCAGTGTACAGCTTGGGAAGGCAAAGTATTATAATGAAATTTGCAAAGACCTGGAGTGAGAAAACCAAAAGGGAAGAACACAAGAAAAATTCAAGCCTCAAGTTGCAATACAGAAGGATTCTATGGGCAAAATAATGAAGGACACAGAAAGCATCAAAAGAAGATGGAAGGAATACACAGAGTCACTGTAGCAAGAGGTAGCATATGATCTAGAACCAACGTTCTGAAGGAAGAAGTCCAAACCGCACTGAAGGCACTGGAGAAAAACAAGGCTCCAACAATTGACAGAATATTCATGGAGATGTTTCAACAAATGGATGCAATGTTGTAAGCAGTCGCTCATTTATACCAAGAAATTTGAAGGACAGCTAATCAGCCAAATGGCTGGAAGAGTTACACATTTGCATCGATTCAAAGAAAGGTGGTATAATAGAATGTGGAAATTATGAAACAATATCATTAATATCACACACAAGTAAAATTTTGGTGAAAATACTTCAAAAACACTTCCAGCAGTACATCAACAAGGAACTGCCAGAGATTCAGAAACGGTCACAGAATGAGGGATATCACTGAAAGCAAAGAAAACCAGAAAGATGCTTAACTGTGTTTTATTGATTATGCAAAGGCATTCAACTGTGTGGATCATAACTAATTATGGGTAACATTGCAAAGAATGAGAATTCCAGAATAGTTCATTGTTCTCATGAGGAACATATAAATAGGACAAGATGTAGTCATTCAACATAAAAGGGGATTGTACATGGCTTCAAATCAGGAAAAGTGTGCATCAGGTTGAATAATTTCACCATACTTATTCAATCTATATGCTTAGCAAATAATCCAAGAAGCTGGAGTAAATAAAAGAGAAGGCAGCATCAGGATTAGAGGAAGACTCATTAACAATGTGTGATGAAGAAGACATAACCTTGCTTGCTGAAAGTGAAGAGGACTTGAAGCATTTATCTATGAAGCTCAAA